ATTAATTTGGTATTTGAATAACTAGTGCATGATGCCACTGGGAGGGGGATAGAGTAATACATTCTTTTATTTGTGATCTTTGTTAAAGCAGACTAGTAGTTCTTCAATGGTAACCATAGAAGAGTCAATTTCAGAAGTTTAATTTCATAGTGTCTCTCATACAGCAAGTGTTTAATATGTACTTTTTAAAAACATTGATTGTGGGGATGGAGAGATGGGTTAGCAGTGAAGAGCACTAGCTGCTCTGAGAGGACCCCGGTTTAGTTCCCACCACTCTCATGGCAGCTAACAGCTATCTATAAGTCCAGTTTCAGTTTATCTGATGTCCTCTTCTGGCCTCCATGTGCATTGCATGCATGTGGTGCACATACATAGAGGCAAAACACTCATACACATAAAGTAAAAATAAATAAAAAACAAAGCAAAACAAAAAACATTGTCTTTAGTGGTCTTCATTTTTTTTGAGACAGTGTCTCCCTGTAGCCCCTGGTGGCTTGGAACTTGCTATGTAGACTAGGCTGGCCTTGATCTCATAGAGATCCACCTGCCTCCGCCTCCTAAGTACTGGCACTAAAGAGGTGTGCCACCACACCCAGCTAGTGGTTTTCATTTTTGAACCTACTCCTCCTCTGCCAGGCTTTCTTCTAAGGTACATCCATGCTGGTTGTTAACATCCCTGGCTTCGCCACATTCTTCTAACCCTGCTCTTTTCTGCTAAAGTCAAATCTTAGAGAATTTTTAAAGTTCAACTCACATTTAATCTACCCTCATGAATACCTTTCCATTTCCTCTAAACCAGATTAACTTATTACTTTTCCGAAAAGTAAAAACTTTTTGAAAACTTTTTGTGGAGGCCAAGTTGGGGGCCAAGATTAGAGGGTTGCCAGGAGCCAGGAGATTAAAGAATATTCAGGGAGATGCTGGCAAATGATACATGTTTTCTTTTTTTCTGGGTGAGGACACACAGGCTGCTTGGGAGAGCACGTGTGTCCTTGTTCTAAGGACTGCTCTTACAAAATCACACAGAGGTGGCTTCTTGTCAAAGTTGGTTATATAACTAATGATTATCTGGCCTATGCAAGAAATCCATATCAATGCCATGTTGTCTAAACAGAAACAGGCTCTTGTGGCCTTGATACCTTACACTTTTGTACTTACAGCTAGTTCTAATATAGTATTTAAGGTTAGGATGTCGGGAGAAGATACCGTCTAATTACATAACTTTGCTTTTTCCAAATAGGTTTAAAATTTGGCACCTCTGTTTAGGTGTATATTCCTCCATTTTAACTTACAAAAAGCAGGAAACACATTACTTGAGTTTTGTCCAATGTGCTATTTGCTAAACTTAGTAACCTTGAAAACAACTCTGAACCTGACACCTATCAGTGTCCCATTTTTGGAAGCCTGTCCAGTGCTTCCACACCTCAGAGGAGTTCTTTACTGTTTGTTATGGATGGATTTAATCTATGTAAGAGAAGAGATGAAGATCATGAGGTCAAATGTAGAAAATCAGTGAAAGAATTAACAAGAAAAAAGGGAAATAATGTTAGTAATCCATCTTAAATCTAGGAAAATAAGGCCTAGAAATATTGCATGAATCTATCCTGTTCTATCCCTAACCCTAACCCCTACCCCACCCCTACCCGTCTATATCCTGATCCCTATCCCTACCCCATCTCTATCCTTACCCCTATTCCTATCTCTATCCCTAGCTATCACCACTATTTGAGACAAGGTCTCACTCTGTAGTTCAGGTCATATAGTGCAACTGGAACTCAATCATACTTCAGCCTTCTGAGTGATAGACTTATAGGTATGCACATACTACATATGAGCTTTTTTTTGTTAATCAAGGAAAATCAAGTCTGGTCCTCTGATTTCTAATCTAATGCTTGTCTCCTCCATCTTTCTCCTCTACTCATTGTATATGCTCTTAAGAGTGTTGCCTCTGTGGTGTGGTGCCTTTGCATGTGTGGCAAATCTCATGAATGTTGATATGATTCCTTGTTCAAGAAGACAACCTCTTAAGGAGAAAATTCAATTTAATTATCATTATTATTATTTCTTACCTATCCAGTTGTGTGTTATTCTACAAATGTGAGACCAGGCTGATTAGCTCACATCTGATTGGTTTATAGAAGTTCAATATTTTAATAATAATTTAATAGATACAATTTTACAGGGCTGAAGAGATTGCTCAGTGGTTAAGAACACTGACTGTTCTTGCAGAAGACCCAGGTTTGAATCCCAGCACCCACATGACAAGTAACAATTGTCTATAACTCCAGTTCTAGGGGACCCGACAGCCTCTTCTGTCTTCTGTGGGCATTGTACGACATGGGTGCACTTACCTACACGCAGGCAATACATGCATACACATAAAATAAAAATAATAGATAAATTTT